TAAGTTTATCTAGTGGAGCTCTTTAGTGTAGCAAGTGTGAGAGCTCTTAGTGAGTAGTGACATAGCAAATTGTGTGTTTAGTGATCATAGCAACTAGAATTATTGGATAGGTGGCTTGCAACCCTTGTAGAGCTAGAGCAAGTTTGTATTTCACTATTTGTTATACTAATCAAATTGCTCTAGTTGGTTTGTAGATTTTTAAATAGGCTATTCACCCCCCCTAGCCATATTAGGACCTTTCACTTACTTAGGGTGGAAGCCAGAATGAAGACAAGCTTTGACAAGCATCAAGAATGGTTGGGAAATTTTGTATTAAAACCACAGATGCATGGATGGTCATCATTGTAGTCAAACTTTGCTTGAAGCGTAAATGCACTTGTCTAGCTATCATGTGTCCTTTGGTTCCTGGCTTGGATGCTCATTCTCACTTATGTCCATGTTTTTGTTGGCACTTTTGTAGCATTTTTTGGATTCTTTCAAGCTTCCTAATTGTTCATAAGGTCAATGCTAGATGCTACACAAGTTGAATTGTGTGACCTAGGTAGTTAGAATAGTGGTGCATTGTGAGTTGTGTTGAGATCCTATCCACTTTGCTCTAATTGATATTCCATCCTATAACTTTGTTGTTTGTGAAGTGCAAAAATCATTAGAGAAAACTCGAATAAATGAAAAGGTATGACATTGTCCATATATATGAGAGAGAACTTTTATGTTTCTTAGATAGGTGAGCATGTAATTCCTACAAAAAATCAATCTAAATAGCAGAATTAAAAACTAGACAATCCATCGCCTTGTTGGCTGCTTCAAAGGTAGAGTATCTATCAAGTTCCTGGACAATCCCATAGGAAATATAAACTTGTAAGAACTAAAAGGATAAGGAGATTTAAACTCAACTTGAATCAAAAGTTGTATTTTCACCTTAGAGAACTTTTGAGCTAATTACTTGCAATAGATTTTAAACAAGATGTAGATCAGGTGAAATCCCAACAACACATGAGTAAGCGCACGAGACAAGAGATTTGTACTAAAGTGCATCCCCTCCACAAAAGAGTACCTACGTCTCCATCGAGGTGCTAACAAAGAGTTGGGTATCTTTCAACCTTTATCCTCCCCCAATCAACCATAAAGATGAGGCTTGGGTCACTTACTCAAATTTCTCTAAACATGTGGGTAATACAAACTTCCTGAAGCTACACCACACAGCTTAGGAGTTTCACGGGCGATGCTTAGCCATCTAGAATCCCAAATCTCCAATAGTAACAAAGATGAACCACTATCTTGACAAAGCCTCCAAAGCTTAGAGGGGAAAGGTGAATCTTAATTACTCTTCCAAATCTTGTCCCTCTCATGAACCCTAACCAAGTCTTATGAAGAATTACTATAAGGGGTTTGATCAACAATAGTGTCAATGGGGAGACTATGTGACTCATGACATTGTCTTATTGGTTGGGTGAGTCCATTAATGAGTTCAAAATAGTCAATGGCATAGGGAGACTATATGACTCCATTTCCTTTAGTTAGTAACAAACATTGTGATAAGGAGATACATAGTGTCAAAAAGCGTACCTCAATAGAGCTCTAACATGGATTAGGGTTGTGTTTTAGCAACCGATACCACGTGATAAATCTGGTTGTCTCTTTGCTTTATTTATGTCTTGCATTACTTACTTTATCTTAGTGATTAGTGCTAGTTGTGCAAGAACCTTGTGTGTGACAACTAGGATTACTTGCTAGCTAGTGTGTGCTTACTATAGGGCTTAATTTCACAATGAAGGACTACATCTTAGTGTGCCCTTTGCTAAAAACATATTTAGTGTGATTTCCCAAAGGAATTGGTGTTAGTGTGAATCTTTTAGTCCTTAGGCAAGAACTGCAAGGCTTGGCTACCATGGCAGGCAAACCACCCTCTTCCCCAACGCCCAATCACTAGTTTCTTCGTTGGTGTGGATGTCAACCCGACATATTTTCTCATGTTTGAAACGATTTCTTGTGTGTTTTGCTTCTCTTTCTTAATTTACTCTCCTTCCACGTCATCAAAATGGTGACATGGAGAGGTAACAAATACCAATGGAAACCAGTTTGATAGTTGCCTAATTGCCCTTTCAACTATTCATCTTGCATTTTATTTACTGACCACTCACCCTATTAACTCATCCCTCAACTAACTCCATATCCATCCAATCTTCTTCGACTCCTATATCTTTGAAGGTGATTAGTAATAAGATATGATTTGCCCAACGAACAATTAGCATTAATCATAGTACTTTTTTTTTAAAAAAAAGAACACGGTACTAATGGAGGGCATTGAGGTCATTTTCGTAAATGTTACTCCCCCTTGAAAGAAAAAAGAAACTTAATTCTTGTTTTTTAAAGAGTCAAACTATTTAAAATTTGACCAAATCTAAAAAACCTAACATTTATGATACTGAATTAGAATCATTAGATTAATCACGGAATATATTTTAACATTATATGTGCTTGGAGTCATAAATGTTAATAATATTTTATATAACTTCAGTCAAATTTAAATAGTTTGACTAAATCCAAATCTAAAACTGCATTTCTTTTACGGAGGTAGTACTAATTTGTTGATTTAGCAATCTTTTTAAAGGTAGTAGTAACAATTATAATGGTCCCCGGCACAAGATCCCGAAGCGTGTACGCATACGGTTGGCATGACTCTGCGTGCCTGTAGTCATTGAGGATTGATTGTGGCCGCTGGCCCGCTACATTCCATGATCCTCACCGAAAACGCCGTTCCCACTCTCGTCTCCATCGCAAACAACCGACAACCGACTGACAACCACACAGCGGAGCCCAAAAAAGGTCCAGATAAACAAGATTATCGTGTGCAAAATGTGCTTAAATTGACTGAGAAATGGACCATTAACTGTACTTATTAGGATTAGGACCTGGACCTATGCCTACAAGATGATAAGGTAAACTAACTTGGACCACAGCATACAATTTATAATGAAAATGTAGGAAGTTCCCTGAAATTTCACAATACAATTTATAATGAAGTTGTTAAGGAAAAAATGGGGGCATCCGATGAAATATATTTTTGTTAAACGATATTTATTTATATCGATAAGAATAATTTATTGGTGACATTGAGTGCAGTCAATAAACGATAGGAGTAGAAAATGCATTGATTCCTCCATGGTCCATATGGGACGATGACTGGAGTAAAACAGTGGAGTACAGCAGCAGAGGTGTGAGAGTGAGGGAGAGAAACAGAAACCAACAAGCACCGGTTGACAAGCTTGGTGAATCATCACCCGGGCCAAAGAGGACGAAAAGGCTGCCTGCCGCCGCCGCCGATGTTGCAGTTGCAGATCACACGACCTTTCTGCATCCAGCCATCCACCCCGTCCGTCTCTCTCTCTCTCTCTCTCTCTCTCTCTCTCTCTCTCTCTCTCCTCCCTCCCTCCCTCCCTCCCACGCACACAGACACATCACACAGCTGGAGAGCAGGTGCTTCTCTCACACCTCGGACAACGCCGCCGTTGCCAGGCGTTTTCGCTGGGCAGCGCCGAATCCTGATAGGTGAAGAAGGCGTGGCATCCGTCGTTTTCGCTGCAGATTCTTGCTGCGGCTCATCTGCCCTGGCCCCCGTGCCGTGCTTCAACACCAACCCAGCCCAAGACTCCAAGAGGTAGCAGTGCTGCTCCTCTTCCTCGCAGGCAGGATCGTTGTTCTTGTTTTCCTTTCTAGTCTCTCTCGGCGTTTCTCATGGTTGCCGGTTGTTCGATCCGTATGGCTTCGGAAGCGAATTTCTTGGGAACCATTTTGTAAACAAGGGGGATAAAAAGAGCCACCATTTTCTCTGAATTCTTTCTACTGCACGCCTGGGATTTTGTCTTGTTGGGAATGCTGCTTCTTTGGAATCCAAAAACAACGCAAAAAATGCGTCGCTTCCTCTCAAACAAGATCTTCATTTTTTTCCCTCGGTTGTTCTAGCACATGTCCTCATGATTGAGCTTTTTTTTCTTCCCCTTTGTGGTTTCTTGTTCTTGCTCCAAAGTCCAAGCCACTAGATGGCGGTGGCATTTTGGGGACGAGATTTTGTCCCTGGATTTGTCTGCGCTTCGCTTTTTTTTTATTTTTTTTGAGAGAGAGAACATGCGCTTCGCTTGTTGGTCTCTCTCAGTCCCCTGTTTTCCGCCATGATTCCATCTTTCCACCAACCGCCCCTGTACCTTCTTCCCAACTGATGATTGCATTGACTTGACTTGTTTGCAGCAGACATAGGCTCATGTCCTGCCCAGCAGTTCGGCTCTCGGTTCTGAGCTGAACGCAACCGGAGAGACCGTGCAGTCCTGAATATGTTTGGTTTCTCGCGGCGCCGGGGGAAACTTGGAGAGGCTCTTAGGTGTGTCATTAAAAAAGTTCCTAATTACACACAGGCTATTAAAAAAATTTACCGCACACATTTACCGCACACATATGCCATCGTTCTGAACTTCTTTGCTCTCCAAACCATTCCATCTATATTCCGTTTGTTTTTCAACGTTTGGGAGTCATAACAAGTGGGTCAGATCAGTCAAAACGTCCATAATACCCCTCTCATCCCTATCCTCTCTCTCAAACTCGGCCTCATCTCTCTTCTCCTCATACTTCCCGGAGCTTCGCCTACACACCACATGCTTCATGCATGCATGGGCGGCCGGGCAGCCCGCTCGCCCCAAGGCGGTTGTCCGGGGTCGAGTTCGCCCACACATACCGAGGCTAGCGGCCGGGCCGAGCGCGCCGAGCCCACGCCCACGGCGGTCGGGCGCACCTTCTCGCGTCACCTCTACGCTACACAAGCGCCGATCCACGACGAGGACCGGTCCGCTGGCTGGCCGGGCGGGCGGAGGTCGCCCACGCCACGCAAGGGCGGCGGGCGGAGCTTCGCCATACCATGCCCATGGGTCGTTGTCCGGGTTTAGCCTCGCCTTTCGCCACCATGCTCATGCTCATGCCCAGGTGTGGCGTCGTCTTCGCCCGCCGCCACCATGGCCGTCTGGCCGAAGCCGCTTCGCCAAGGCCGAGGAGGCCGGGCGAGCTTGCTCACGCCACGCACGCCGCGGCCGTCGGCCGACCTCCTCTCGCGTCACTCTACGGCTGGCATGTCGATCCACGGCGAGGACCGCCATGCGGCTTCTCCACGCCGCCTCCGCCTCCCTCTCTCGCCCATTCCGTTGGGGACGAGGGCCGCTTCCACGCACACGCTGGCCCTCGACGTCATTGTCGGGGCTCGTGCGGCTCTGCAGCCTCCCGCCATCTCCTTCTTCTTGGCATGGTCATCAGGGGGCGCTACCGCACCTACGCCCGGGCGTGGTCGACAAAAACGGATCCCACCGTAGGGTAAAATGGTCATTTCACCTATCTGTTTGACACCGTTAAGTAGAAAAGCGGACGGAATGACTTGGAAAGCAAAGAAGTTTAGAACGGTGGCATATGTGTGCGGCCAACTTTTTTAATGGCACACATGTAAAAGCCTCAAACTTGGAAGGTGAATGTTATGCACAGTTCCTTGTTTTCATCATGTCATGCTTTTCCTCACTTAAAAAAACGGTGCTGTGTGATGATGACAAGGGGAGCTTGTTAACGTGAAATTCGAGCCTCTTCGTTTCGGCTTATTTGCTCGTATCTGCCTTATAATCCACGACTTGAACAGCGTTTTTCTCTCGCACCAAACCAGCCAGCCGTACTTTCAGCCCTGACTTATAAGTCAATTCAGCCGAAACGAACAGGTTGCTTGTGTACTCGAGTATCAGTGCATCATTTGAGTTTTGGCAGTTAACTTAGTAATTTCACCTGAGTTGATTCATCAGCTGGTGCTCCAGTACATGTCAGACTTCGAGATTTTCTTTAGAGAACTTTTTTCCTTTTACTGACTACCAAACTTCTATGGACACAGTAGTACTGTTGGTAAAAATTGATGGGATACATTGCAAATTGATGAAGTCATACGGCTTCATCAAGCTCAGTTAACATTGCATTGCATTCAACTAAAGTCGCATTTCCTGGTTACATTTGATCCCAATCAGTCCTATTTTCACATTTGCTTTGACTGCTTTATACTTTGTCTTGAGTTTTTTTGCTTTTCTTTTTCAGGTCGAAGGGTGACCCAAGTGATCCTTTGAACAGCTCTTGGAGTCCTGTTGGCCCCAGTAAACACCTCAATCTGCACAATGTGAGCCTGTGACCGAAGAAACTGCATCTAGTATTGACCTTGTTGTATTTTGGCCAGAACTGGATGGTTTAGCTCTTGGATTTTTTTTCAATTTTCAGGGGTATGACGCAGTTACGACATCAGTGAGTGGCTGCGCAGATGATCTTTCCTACCGCTGCTCGTCAGATACCTTTGATCCTGACGGACGCACTTTCAATATTTCAGAAAATTGGACTGTGCTGTCCACAGAGGGAGATAAACCTATTCCTCGTTTCTATGTAAGCCACTGAAAATAATATAATAACTAGAATTAAGTTCATGTATCTTGAAAAAAAAAATAGGTATTTACTTAACACATATTCAACTTTGATCGAACAGCATGCAGCAGCCATCGTAAGTAGCAAGATGGTAGTGTTTGGTGGTGATTCTGGTCAACGCTTATTAGATGACACAAAGGTATGGGATCTTCTTTTTTCTTATGTATGTTGTTTGGATGTGTGAACTCTGCACTGAGTGGTACCATGTTATTATCAAATAATCAAATAATATTATGACTTCACTTATTGTATTAATTAGATACTGAATTTAGAGAAGCTTACTTGGGATTCTGCGCCTCCTAAAGTTTGCCCATCACCAAGCGGACGTTCGATGAAGTTGCCAGCCTGCAAAGGTCATTGTCTGGTATAGCTCTTGTAAATCACTACTCTGTAGTGGTTCTTGAAACCTAAGTTACTGATATGATCATTCTTTAAATAAGAAAATTTACTGTTACATCTTTTTCAGTTAAATTGCTACTTGTCCTTGGGCGTTTTGGTATGCGTTTCACATTATTGGTCAATGTTTTCTTACTTTAAGCCGACTATTTTATACTTTTATGGAAAATTGTATGCTGGACACTATGTTTGACCTATTTTCACTTTGACATCATCCGAAACTCAATGTATTATAAGTTGATCTATTATTCAAAGAAGACAAGAATTGTTCTCGATGATGCCTTCTTGTATGCACTCCTTTAATACTGAAAAAATATTTATACATGGGTGATGTACAGGTTCCATGGGGAAATAGTGTCATTCTTGTCGGAGGTAAAACTGAGGCCACTCAAAATCTAATTTTTGGAGGCCACTGGACCGTCTCCAAGATCAAAATCTAATTTTTGGAGGCCACTCAAAATCTAAGACACTTAATGACTTGTATTCTTTAGATTTTGATACAGTAAGTTTTTGTGAGCATCCTTGGTTCAGTATACCTCAATACGTTTTGCATTTAGCAGGCTACTTATTAGTGTTATCTTCCTGACAGATGGTATGGTCAAGAGTGAAGACCCATGGTCCTCACCCATCACCTCGAGCTGGTTGCAGTGGAACTCTGTGTGGAACTAAGTGGTACATAGCTGGCGGTGCAAGCAAGAAAAACGTATGTCTCAAGCTCTCAATTTGGAAGATGAGTTGGTGGTTTTATTTCTTAATGAATAATACATGTATTGCTAATGATGACCATCTATCTTCTTTTGCAATTTCTAACAAGAAATCAAATTCTCAGGACATGCAGAAACCTGGGTTTTTTATGTTCTACAATCTAAGTGGTCTGTTTGTGTAGTACCCCCTAGTTCATCAATTACTACAAAAAAAGTAAGTAATTTTCTTTCTGACTCTCTTATTTAGTTTTGATAGTATCTCGTATTCACTACTTTCCATTTTACATCACTCAACTAATTAGCCAGAAAACTAAAACAACTACTGATGCAGGGTTTCAGCATGGTTCCTTTCTACCACAGGGACAAGATTGCTCTTATTGCATTTGGAGGGAACAAAAAAGAGCCGTCCAACAAGGTGAAGCAATCGGTTTCTACTAAAGAGCATATTTTTTAGTGACCGTTAAAGAACTGGTTGTCATTTTGATCCAAAAAAAATATAGTGTGGCTTCTCATGATCTTAAGGCTCTTAAAACACAATTTGTCATCATTGTCTGGCACATTTATGATGTATGTGTTCCACTTACTACCTCATGTGAAGTCAACTAAAAATGGTTTTGAAGTTTGAAGCTTTCATATCAACTTGGATTGTATCATTGACCATGTGACCTTGTGCAGGTTGAAGTATTAGTGGTACTGCAAAATGAGCATTCTTTTAGTTGGCGTTCGGCCCCAGAAGTGGACCGTGTGCTGTACGAGTACTCTCCAAGCAATAAGGAGCTTGCTGATCATCTCAACAAATGTGCCCCCTTGTACTCTAACAGTTCCATCGCAAGGCATAGTCTCACTTCTGTGATAGAACACCCTCCTAGAAGGGAACCCCTCTCTGAGTCATTGTCGAAGCAGTCCAGTTTGGGCACTTCACTCCATGGGCAGTTGGATCAAGTAGAAGAGTGCAGCCTATGTCAGAAATTGCAGAAACCAATCGATGATGACAGATACGATGACGTTGATGACGACTCTTCATGTCAAGATAGCACTGCGAACAGCTACGAGCAAATGGACATATTATTTGTTTATCTGCATAACAGATTGTTTCTTACAGCCGAAAGGGCAACGGAGCAAAAGGACAGGACCTGGTATTCAGAATGACATAGCAGAAAATATGGTGACTGGAGGATCAAATGTGAGAAGGATAGCTAGATGCTCTTCAGATGTTAGCCAGAGCCACTTATACAACACAAAAATAGCAGACTTAATCAGAAGAAACACCACGCTCGAAGACCAGCTTGCGACCGCGCTGGCGAGCAAAGACCAGCTAGAGAAGAGCTTATCATCAGTCATTCACAGCAGAGAACAGCTGGAGAAGATGCTTGCCAACAAAGATAAGGAGGCTGAGATGCTGAAAGAGCTTAGAGCTGGCGCAGGAAGAGTCGAACAGCCTCTCGAACACAGTGCACGCTGATAATGTGCGCCTCAAGCGTGAAGTGGCGTTCCTGAAGGCCGTCTCAGATGAAACGCAGAAGGCAAGGAAACTTGATGCTTACTAGTAATGTTTGGTGATCCTGATGTGTTCTTTACTGAGTTCGTTTTGGTCTTGCAGGAGCTGCATTCCACTCGTAGAGTTTTAGCAGGAGAACAGTCGCGAGCGTTCCAGCTCCAGGTACTACATTTGAGACATATTGACCCCATACATTGAGACTTAACTGAGCCAAAATGTTTTTGTCACGCAACTTGACAAATTTTACCTACCAGTAACTCACCATGGCTTTTTCCAGGTTGAAGTGCTCCATCTCAAGCAGAGGCTGCAAATACTGGAGGGAAGATCAGGAACACCCACCAAACAACCTCTATAGCTTGTAGTTGCTACATTTCTGGACATCAATTGTTGCAAGTTTGTAACAGCCCCATGTAAATGATTCCGTGGTGAGCGTTTATGTGATCAACAGGTTTTGATATGCAACCATGTTAGATCTGTAATTTGTGGGACATGATATAAAACTATAAATAGCTAACGGATTGAACCGTGCTATATGAGTAAATATTGATCTGTAATTTGCGGGGACATGGTTATACTTACCTGAAAGGTGGCTCTTCCTTTCCCGAAGTTTCAATTAGCATTGATTTTTACATCAAAAAGACAAACTGTCATTCTTAATTTCCTACTATCAAAATTCAAGTTTAGTCGGAGAAGAATGTTGCATTGTTAAGTGCTTTTACGCACAAAACTGTACTAAACAATTAATCATAATATAAAATTAAGTTAATTATCAACTATAAAATTTTATTCGGAGAATCAAATTCAACAAGAGCACGAGTCAGCTATTTAGTCCCATTCTCCACAAATAACTTAAAATGGAACGGTGCCTTTGTCTACACAGTATCCACTGTACATTTGCCAATTGCCATCACAACATCATGATCCAACATGAGGGCGGATTACAGCAGCAGACCTACAGGGTTACATAAATATATCACTATTCTTCATCTTCATCTTCATCGTCATCATCCGGAATGGCAGTGTCATCGCCAATACCTTGCAGAAGGGTATCCACATCTTCACCGAGCTCTGCCAGCCTTGTGCTCAGCTTCTCAACCTTAGTTTGTTCCTGGCCGAGGCAGACGAGTAGATCATTCAGTTCTGCCTCACTATCCTTCTCAGCCTCTTCCTTGGCTTGCGCTTTTATTGCTTCCACGTCAGGATACGGCACACTGCCTCCCTGCCGCAAGGTTTTTACCTCGGCATCCAAGCGGTAGTTGGCCTGCTCTATGCTGTTGTAAGCTTCTGACAAGCTCTTGAGATCAGACTCCAGTTTTACTGAAAGGTTTCTTTGGTTGTTAGCTTCAGCTTCAATCTGGGACTTCTCAGCTTTGAGTGCCTCTATCTGTCGTTTCGCTCCCTCCAGTTCTTGTCTGAGGGCTTCAATCTGGACCCTTTCTCGGCCACTGCTCGGTTTGTGTGAAGTATCTGTGGTGGCACCACCAGTTCTCACTAACTCTTCTGCTAACATTGCATTTCGAGCTAGTAAGTCCTGACAGATGCCATTATAAATATCAGTGTCAGCTTCTTATACTTTCAGGTACAGCAGTGTCTGAAATACACTAGCAACAACAGGCACCCAGCAATAAACCCATCAATCTAGAAACAATTATGTATGGCCACTTGCACAACAATTCACATGTTAACTTTATGAGAACCATGTTATCTAAAATATTTTCTAAGGAACTTTTCAAATGTCTGAGTTTGCATCAATCAGCTTGTTATTGGTTAATAAAACATAGGGTCCTCTAGTACCGGAGTATTTGACAACCTAACCTCAGTGCTGCCCAGAAGACTAGACCATTCAAGAAGGTGGTGTCTTAAGGAGCAAGCTCCAAATAATGAGAAATATATGAAGTTTTATTAACACTAAGTCATAGAACATAGTGAATAACCTAATTTAAGAATCACTTTCTGACAAGATCATGCCAAGAGACCCTTCATGTTTGCTAACTGCTTAGTCTTTTGGATTAAGAAAATGACGTTAATGAAATTTAAACTATTGTCAGGTGTCCCAAAATAGTAGTCATTTCTTTTTTTTCATGGCAATGCACAAAACATCATTTTTTAGCTTTGAATTTTTTGAGTAATTCAACAGGAAATTCTCTGAAGGCAACAAATGGAAACCTACCTGCATCTCATTGCACTGTTTCTCTACAAATGACTTTAGTCGCTTGATATACTCTCCATCGACCTCCCCTGCTTCTTCTGCTCCAATTCAGTAGGAAGGACTGCAGTTGCAGTTTTTGTCCGACTAAATATATCCATTATGTTTTCTCTAATATCAGCCTCAAGCTTACTAAGGAAATTAACAAACTGTGAATCAAATATTTCTGAGAGGACAGGGTGTTGATCGTCTTTATTTGTTTCATCCTCTTCAATCTCTTGAAATCTGACATGCTATTCAGCACTTGATCGGGAGAGCTCCTTGCGGTGATGCTGCTCTGACAACGGATGTGCCAAACTTTTCCTCAATTCATCAAACCTCAAAAAGTATGTTGTGAGGCCAATCTTTTGACTTATAGCATCTGCAACAGCAAAGGCATCACGACCCTTCTCACGGCTAGCATTGTACAGGATGCAAGCACCTAGAACAACAGCAGCCAGTCCACGAACACAAGCAGTGTAACGTTTACTTGAAGCAAGCTCTATTATGTAGTTCAGATGCACTGCTGATTCCAAAAGGCAGTTGACAGCATTTGAACAATCAACAAGCCATATGATGAGTAGCCGAAGAATAACAGGTTGAATGTACGGTTCTGGTTGGTTGTTTTGGTCGTTTTCTCCATCTGTTGAAGCTGCAATGGACAAACATGTGACAATACGATGCAATACTGGCTCAGTGCGCCCCAAGGACGGTGTAGGTGTCTCAAGCTGAATTTGCAATACCTGAAAAAACATCAGTTGTGACTTGTGAGACAACCTTCTGTCTTAAGTTGTACAAGGGGCATAAAACAAATACACATATGAGACAGAGACACGCTACTGAATCATGCTTTATAGTAGTCAAAGAATTGGCATAAACAGGCACTAAAGTCCCAAATAGTTTAAGGGTATAAGAAAATAACATGACTAAATATTAATTACTTTAGGATCAAGAAGAAGAATCATAACACAATAACAAGCCAAGCTCAGATACTCCCATCACAAGCGAGGAAGCATATGATTAGTTCTACCAACAACACTAAGAAGAAAAGGTCATGTGTCAACGCAGCTCAATATCCATTTTATTTTATTTTCAAAATAGAATAGTGGAGTCAGTTAATAATTAGATTTACACCGCTTAATATTTCGGCCATGTTATCAGCGGTGAATGGTGATGTAAGGCATGTGTTAGGGTTATGTTCTATCATGTGGTCCAAAAATTGTGATAATTATTGGCCATACGCATCCTGGATCTTTAGAGGTTGGAATAATATTTTGTTCCATCATCTAAAAAATAGTCAAACCTTAGCAGTAGGGTAATTGGTTTGCTACTTAAGTTTATATACAGGTAGAATGAATGAAAGGTTGAAGGGTGCATACATGATCCTTGCTTTGCAAGTTGTCCTTGATAATGTGAGAAAGAACGCTAGATGCTCTGCAACATGCCTGTGTAATTTTGGTCAAAATGTTAGAACAATTGATTAAACACAGCTACACAGAGACCACTTGAATGTCCTGTAAACTGGAGCTTTAGGTTTTCAAGACTTCACCTCCATATCTCCATTGACATCACTTGAAACCAGAGCTTGCAGAAGTACACTGTCATTAAAAGGCAATGTATGTCAACTGTCAATGGTTCATGATGAAATTGATACTACAACAAATCACATGGGTTTGGCAGAAGCAACAAAAGAAATGCCAGAGTGGGATGGCCAAAATTATATAATGGTGAAGATATATGTTATTTTGGCCTTGGCTCAAGCAGTAATTTATAAACATTGCAAAAGGCAGCGAAGGTTAATGTCCTTTAATGTAAGATACAACTTATGTACAACCAACAAACCAACCTTCCAAAAGGCATGTCACTAGCAGGTCCATGCGTATCTCCTTGGTTCGGATGTGGAGCAATAGTTGATGCTAATAATGCCTGGCCATTAGGATTTCTCTGTTTCACAAATGGCAAACCAAAGATTGTTATGTGCTTTGTTAAGGAAAAACATGAAAGCGTAATAGTTTCAAACAAATACTAACCAACAGTTACACGTGAAGACTTTAGAAGCACAAATTGTTAGAACATTGAACAAGTATTCTTGGATTACTATGCATACTAGAAACCAAAAGTTTTCCACTTGAGCAGTAAAGTTAGTTCTACTTCAGTTTGTATCATTGCATGTAATGTTACACAATTTTATGCTAGGCCTTCCATTCCTATAAAAGAAGGGCGGGCCTGGTGCTAGTGATGAGAGTCTTACCACTGTGTGATGGAAGGTCCCGGTTTAAATCATGATCTCCTCGCATTGCAGTGCGAGGTAAGGCTTGCCACTAACACCCTTCCCTGCACTTCAAGATAGAATGGAGCTCTCAGACCGGGTGCCTCTTCCATTCCTATAAAAAAGGGGCGTACCAGTGGCAGAGAGCTATAGTTAGTGGCAAGCCTTACCTCGCTCAGCAATGCGAGGAGACCATGACTTCGAACCGGGACCTTCCGGGTCACAAAGTGTAAGACTCTACCGCTTGCACCAGGCCCGCCCTTCAAAAAAGGGGAGTACCCAGTGCAGAGAGTGTTAGTCGCTGAATTCTCACTTTTGGTAGTAGCTGAATTCTTACTCTCGTCGAGAGAGGATGACACTAGGAGTTGGGACAATTTTCTGGTTTATTTCTCAATGTCATGCCAACCTGAGGGGTTGGGGATACATATTTATAGGCTCCTAGCCAGCCATCCATATGCCAAGATGCTAGTCTAAGATGTCCTAGATGCTGTCCTAGATGTTAGTCCTAGATGCTGTCCTAGATACTAGTCTTAGATGCTAATATGCTGTCCTAGCCAATCAAGGATGCTGTCCTTGATGGCAGCAAAACCACAAAGACCACCATGCTGCTGCAGCCCCACAAAGACTGCTGCAGCCCCACAAAGACCACAGAGACTTATCCATCATTCTCCCCCTAAGTCTTGTGCGTTGTCTTGTGGGGAAGTTGAACCATCCCGGTTCTGGAGCAGAGCTCAAGGAACTTGATCCACCCAAAAGGCTTGGTAAGCAGGTCCGCAAGCTCATCCTTGGTGTTGATATAGCTCGCCTTGATGCTCCCGTCCTCCAAACAGCCTCGGATGAAGTGGTACCTCACCCGGATGTGCTTACTCCGTTCATGGAAAACGGGTTCTTTGCGAGGCCAAAGCGGACTTGTTGTCCCACCACAGCTCCACCGCTCTAGTGTCTCTGCCAAGAGATCACTGGCGGTCAGGCGAGCCAGGCGCTGAAGTCGAAGCGGTGGAGGCGCTATGTACTCGGCCTCGTGGTGGGGCCAGGCCACCACCGCCGCTGGACCGATCGCCACCTAACGAGGCACTTGCCGAGGAAGAAGAGGATCCCGCCGTGCTCTTCATCGGTGTCGATGTCGCCGGGCGTGGTCGCCGTCATTGTATCCGACGAAGTGTGCCGCCTGTGGCACCTCGGGTAGTAGAGGCCGTGGTCGCGAGTCCCCGCAACGTAGCGGAAGATCCTCTTCACAAACCTTTGGTGCTCCCGTCGTCGGTCGCTGCATGAACCGACTAACGTAGCCGACGGAGAATGCCAAGTCCGGCCGTGTGTGGGCGAGGTAGCGAAGGCTCCCCACAAGACGCCGGTACTGTTAGTCGCTGAATTCTCACTCTTGGTAGTAGGAGAATTCTTACTCTCATCGAGAGAGGATGACACTAGGAGTTGGGGCAATTTTCTTGTCTATTTCTTACTCAAATGCCATGCCAACCTGAGGGGTTGGGGTTACATATTTATAGGCTGCTAGCCAGCCAAGCATATGCCAAGATGCTAGTCTAAGATGCTAGTCTAAAATGCTAAGATGCTAGTCTAAGATGCTAAGGTGCTGTCCTCTAAGATGCTGTCCTCTAATATGCTGTCCTAGATGCTAACAGCCAATGTCCTAGATGCTAACAGCCAACAGCCCCACAAAGACTAGATGCTGTCCTTGTGCTAACAGCCAACAGCCCCACAAAGACTAGCCAGACTTATCCATCATTCTCCCCCTAAGTCTTGTGTGTCGTCTTGCGGGAGAGTTGAACCATCCCGGTCCTGGAGCAGAGCTCAAGGAACTTGATCCTCCCAAGGGGCTTGGTGAGCAGGTCCGCAAGCTGGTCCTTGGTGTTGATGTAGCTCGCCTTGATGCTCCCTTCCTCCAAACAGCCTCGGATGAAGTGGTACCTCACCCGGATGTGCTTGTCGCGTTCAGGAACACGGGTTCTTTGTTGGCAGGCGGACTTGTCATCCACCCCAGCTCCACCGCTCTAGTGTCTCTCGCCGAGGAGATCACCAAGCGCCGAGCGAGCCAGAGCGCCGAGTCGAAGCGGTGGAGGCCGCTATGTACTCGGCCTCGCGCAATGGGCAGGCCACCACCACCGCTTGACCGACCGCCACCCATAACGAGGCACTTGCCGAGGAAGAAGAGGACCCCGCCGTGCTTTCTTGGTGTCGATGTCGATGTCGCGGCGTGGTCGTCGGCTGCACCAAAGATTTGTGTGCCGCCTCTGTGGCACCTCGGTAGTAGAGGCCGTGGTCGAGAGTCCCCGCAACATAGCGGATGATCCTCTTCACACCTCATTGGTGCTCCGTCGTCGGTCATTGCATGAACCGACTAACGAGCCGACAGAGAATGCCAAGTCCGCCGCAGGTGGGCGAGGTAGCGAAGGCTCCCCACAAGACGCCGGCAGATCTGCGAAGCGCCCACCTCCTCCGTCGTCTTTGTCATGGCTCGACTTTCACCTCTCCTCCATCGGAGTGAGAGCTGGGTTGCGCCGGTGAGCCCAAATTAGCTCAACGACGCGCTTGGCGTGGCGGTTTGTCGAAGTGTGATCCGGAGTCATTCTGTGCACCTCGATGCCTGTGTAGAAGGAGAGAGGCCCCAGTCACTCATCCGGAAGGTGGCCTTCATCTCTTCCTTGAATGCCGCCACCTCCGCATCCTTGGTGCCGGTGATCACCAAGTCGTCGACGAGACACCCACCAACAGCAGAGCGGTTCCTCCACCGCCTGGCCGGTAGATGGCCGCCCTCGTCGGGGCTTTGCTCAAGCCCATCCCTTTAGCGTGGAATCCAACTTGGCATTCCACGCCTCGCCCGCTACCGCAAGCCATAGAGGGCCTTGCGCGCAAGCGAGCACCTTGCCCTCCTTGCCGGGGATCGCAAATCCCGGCGGGTGGTGCATCGAGATCCTCCTTCAAGTCGCCATTAAGGAACGCCGACTTGACGTCCATGTGATGAACACGCCACCCTCCTCCGGCAGCGCTAAGCGCAGGAGGAGTCGCGACGGACTCCATCCGTCCGTACACGGAGCAAAGGCGTCGTCGGTCGACCCCCCCCGCCGCACGAAACCTCGTGCCACCAAGCGAGCCTTGTGCTTGACGATGGCACCGGCTTCATCCCTCTTCGCCTTGAACACCCACTTAAGGGTGATCGCGCGGTGACCACGAGGAAGGTCTTCAAGCTCCCAGTGCGGTTCTTCTCGACCGCATCCATCTCCAATCGCATCGCGGCCGCCATGCATGCCGCGTGTCTCTCGCCTCTGCATATACGATCCGAGGCTCGCCGCCGCCACACGCAAGGTGCAATCGCGCCTCCAGTCGTGAGGCACCGGTCCCGCAGACCGGCCGGTCACCGAGAAGGTTCTCCATCGTGACGGTATCAAGCAATGGCTCGCCGTCGCCGTAGGTATGCTGGCGACGCGCCTCGCCGTGAGAGAGCGGAGAAGCGAAGCTCAACCGGCCGTGGCTCGACACGAGCCGGAGTAGACGTGCGGAGAGGTGCTCGCTGATGCCGGAGTGCGTGGCGTTGCTTTACCGTGGTGGAGCCGGCGAAGAACTCATCGCAGCCGAGGTCTGGTGGAGAGCGTGTGCCGCTGCGGAGTAGCAGCGCCGGTCGGTGGAGGCTCGGGATCGGGGTAGACGCGCCGCCAAGAAGAGCCGCCTACTCTCACTTCCTCGGCGGGACGTACTTTCGACAAAGAAGTCGCCGTGACGCCGGAGCCGAGCCATCGCCCACCGCTTTGTCCCACGCCCATCCTCGCTTTTTCGTCGAACACAACGTCAGCGCGCGCCAGGCGCATACGCCGTGTCTTCGGTCGAGGATGCGGTAGGCCTTCGAGCCTCCGCCAGCGTAGCCGGCGAACACTCCCGAGTGCTTCGCCGTCCGAAGCTTGCCGATGTGGCTAAGCTCCTTGGCGAACGCGAGAGGCGAAGAGACCCGCAGGGGAGACCGCCGCTTGCGCCCATGCCAAGCCTCGTCGGGCGCCCCGCCGTCGAGCGCTTTTGGTAGGCGAAGCGGTTGAGGATGTAGACGGCCGTCACCACCGCCTCTCCCCCGAAGACAACCGGCATCCCCTCTCGCTGAGGAGGGCCCGAGCCATCCCCACAACCGCCTCGGTTGCGCCGCTCGACGACGCCGCTTCGCTGCGGATCAGACGGGTAGCGGAGTAGTGGCGCCGAATGCCCTCGTCAACAAGAAGACGACGCGAATTCACCCGCCGTGTGAATTCGCCATGCCGTTGTCGGTGCGCAGCAAGACGCTGCAGCTTGCGGCCGCGACTCGCCTCCGCAGAAATTTCAAGGCATACCGATGGCGTCCGCAGCCTCTCCCTTGCCGCCGAGGACCATCACCCACATGTAAGCGGAGAGGTCGCCGACGAAAGCAAAGCAGAAAGTAGCGTCGTCCTCCCGGTGTGGCCGGTGTCACCGGCCACACAAGTCCCCGTGGCACAAGCTCGAGCCTCTCCTTGGCTCGAAAGCTAGCCCGCCGTGGAAAGGGGGAGTCGCCCGCTTCGCCAACACGCAGACGCCGCAGAGCCGCTCCACATGGTCGAGGCACGGCAGCCTCGCACCATCTCTCCGCGGCAACCGAGCCGCCTGTGGCCTCGGTGAAGGTGCCCGGCGCTGCGTGCATCGCCACGCCTCGTCATCCCGACGA